AAAGCAGCAAGACAAATGAACTCAACTACAAATTAAATATTTTGACAAGCAAACAACATGCCTCAACATTTGTCTTTGGTCTGAGAAACTAAAACAAGAAGCAGCTGTAAACAACATTTCAGTTATTTTAATTTTTGTTCTATATAAAACCCTCAGCTTCCCCGAGCAGATCTCTCCAATTTTCTTAACTTGGCACAAAAAACTTTCTCGAATCATCTCACTCAGGTGCATATATTATGACGAATTCACAGACCAAAGCCAACAGAGTTCAATGACAAACCATAAATATGTCGTTCATAGTAAAGAAAGAAAGCCAAAAATTATAACAGAAAATAGAAAGTTCGATGAAGAACAACCATAAATTCGCCGTTCCCAAAAGAAAGCAAAAAATTAATACAAAAACTAACAAGCAATATCACGCTTTGATCGACAGAACCTTTTTGGTGTATTTGATCCAAAACTGAAGTGAAAATATACGATGAGCAAGTTTTACCCTACTGTTGCTTTATATCAATGACTTCATGTCTTCACCTTAAGCTATAATCAAATACTGTTTCTCTCAACAGGGACATGGTTTCCACCAAGATCTCTTTGGAAATTTCAAACTCAGGATTTATTAGATTTCTGGTAGCCCTATTTCCATAGTTGCACTGCCACAAGGTAAGGTAATCCAAACATCAGGAAACTGTTGTGATATTGGTTGTTTCTTTGTTGCAAATATCCCTAAAATAAATATCAGCAACTAATAGATGTATTCTAAGCTTAATTTGATATATGACTTTTCTTGCTCATGTAAAATTGTCACCACAGCACGTCCGCTCTGGCCTGACCACTGGCTATTTCACCATTAAACAGAAAATGACAACAAAATCCAAATGATCCAATGAAAAGGGTTTTTACTTTTTTTTTTCTGTGAACGGGGCAAACTCACTTCTAAGTGAAACATAACCGTGATGTGAAAATGCAATCTTTATATTAAGCGAAACATGACAATAAAAAATTGAAACGAGCATAAAAAATCAGTCAGAAAACGTACAAACAGTTTCTCTCGCTAGAGCTTTGCCAAGGTTTAATATCGGACTTACAACAATTTACAAAAGCAGAAAGGATATGCTGCACTCCATCTAGACACAGCACCGTTATCTTGTCTAGAAAACACATTCATCAAACTACCATTTTTCAATAAGTTCAATTTTAGCTTCCAGTGCAGCAACAATTAACCCCGACTTCTTTAATCATAAGTTTTTTCTCAAACACACCCTGAACTGTACACAATGATAAACACAAACAAACACATAATCCACAAATAACTACGAAGTAAACAAAATTCTCACCTGTAAGTATCAAAGCTGAGCTCCTCATAGAAAAGCTTTGGAAACCCCTTCTAAAACCCCTTCTAAAACACATGTACATTTAATTTTAGCTTTTCTTTTAGCACGTGGTTGGGTTTATAACCAGTGGTACCAGAGAGTGAATTAAGGTATATGCTGAAAAAATTTCGTACAGCAAGATCATCACCATTAGTTTAAGTTTAGATTATGGAAAACATTCAATGCTTAGAGACAATTTAAAAGAAACGTAGTCAATCAGTTCCAAGCAATATAAAAACTTTAGAAAGCTAAGATTATGGAAAACAAATGTTTGAAAGTCAAATAACATGCCAACCATGCCACCTCCAACAATACCCACATCATGCACCAGAATATTACTATGCTGGTCAGTGGAATCCTAAAGTAAAAGTAAAAAATAGATGGGGATCAAACTTTGATGAAGAGAAACACCTCCAAAAATAGTAAGATAAGCATCACGTCTGCGAAACTCCAGGTTCACGTTACCATCTAATATGCAGAAAAAATTATAGAATTATCTGATTATCTAAAATTTCAACTATGGATGGTCTGTTCGATTTGTTTTTCCCTTCATCAATATATAGTGCAATAATATTCGTGCTCTTTGATAGATAAACTGTATTTCTAACATGTTCTCCCTTGCAACATGTTGATATAAATCTCTACATTTAAGATCATTTAAACCAAGTCTGCAAGTAATCAGCAGAACATATGACAGATTCTATTTCAAACATCAAATTGAACGTGTCTATTTCTACGAAACATCCAGAAAATCGGTATTACATAGGTGTTACTATATAATTGCTAGTATAGCCAATTCGCCGATAATGTCGACTACAAACTAGTTTACTTTTTCAAAGAGAGTTACCAACTGGTGTATTGACTTATGTGTTCGCAGGATCGTGATTGTTGATTTTTGTAATGATATGATAAGATAAATTATTAAATGGTTGCCACGTTGCCAATTGTATGTATTTCTGGTAAGCCATTATGTACACCATTCAGGCAATACAGCATGTCCTTTCTACTAGATCAATTCTAACATGTTAGGAATGAGTACTTTTTATTAGGTGTAAGAGACAAACAACAGAACCACCAGATAAATCAAGAGAGTCGGACACCCAAAGCTTCTGTAAAGTAAATACACATCATGTTTAAGGAGAAAATGTCTTGTAACATGCAAATGAATCACAACTACACTATCCGCATGAAATGAATCATGAGTTGGTAACAGAGAATACATTCTGGTATATGCACCTATTTAATCAAGGAAAACGATACAGTACTATCCAACATCTCAAGAAAAGGTGATATCTCTAAACATAAAATTATTACCTTAACAACTTGATCGTCGTCTTACCAGGTAACTTTACAATTTTACTGTTACATAACCTCCTATGTGCCCACCTCAGGGCAGGGAAGTTGACTGTAATCAAAATGACAGGGAGTCTTTCAGCCATAGAAAAAGGACTTGTCCGTCCGTGGTCATCACCTTTCACCTATGGAATATGCTATTCTTCACATTTTTTCAACTGAAATGCATTTCAACTTGATTTTGATAGAAGTTTTAGAGAAGAATTGGCTTATAAACAGTATATTCAATCACAACCATTATTCGTAGATCTTTAAATCTGCTTTCAGATGCAAAAGTAAGGTCAAATGTATCACAATTTTCCTAGGCAGCAGACATCTAAAACAAACTTGTCATTTCTATCCTGTAGTGGTTTTTCTCTACAACAACAACAACAACATACCCAGTATATTCCCAACAGGTTGGGAGTGGTTTTTCTTGTCAGATGATGTTTGATCGGTGGGAGTTGATTCCAACCGATCCGCTGAAGGCTGGCTCTATGGCTGCGGATCTGGTGGCAAAAACACTAGAGAGGGAAGTATTGATTTTGAAGAAGTGACAAACTAAGAGATCCATTTTTTTTGTTTTGC